CCATTGTGATCAAGTGCAGCTTCAGAATTAGATATAATAAAAAGTAATTCTTCCTTTCTGAAAAGAATAACAACTTTTCTCAGTGACTCAGTAAGAGAAAAACAAAACTATATTGTAAATCTGTCCCATAATTGCTTCAGTCCTACAGACATCTATCACCACAAGCAAATCCCATCCTGTACAGATCTCACCACACACTGGGAATCTTATAGCTTATCTTAAAATCACTAATTTCTGTCTATTCCACAATACGTTACTTCACGTGTAGAAAACAGGCAATAAACAGACAGCAAACAAAGTGCTTCTGGAGTTCCTCCTCCGCACTTCTGTTAAGAGGGGAAAAAACAATATACAAGGATATCATGCTTGATGTTATGCTATTAATTTAAGAAGTTACCCCAGTAAATATTGAAATACAATATCAACAAACTTTAGCGATTGAAGTTCTCCGATTAATTAAAAATATCCTATATTAAAAGAAATTAAAGAATCTTTAAAAATAAAGATAGATTCATGATTATTTATACATTAGTCATTTCCAATGTCTTCCTACAAGAACAAAAAACAAAAAGAAACTCAGTAAAGCCAGTTTCACTTTCTGTTTCGCAGTGCTGACTCATCTATGTCACAACTTGCTGAAAAGGAAGACTTTTTGAACTATCTCATTTAGATTATGTCTTTAAACTATAATACAATTTCAAATAGTCTTGGGATCTACGAAAGCATGTCTTTAAAGATTTTTAGATCATAAAGTAAGTTTGACTCAATAATACTATTTGAACAACTCTTCCTATAAAAGGCGCAGAAGATGTCATTACTACATTTCATAACCTAAATGAATAACATAGAGCCACAGAGTCCTCTGTAAACCACAGTAAAGGCATGGGGATTTACCTACATAGAGGCTGGAAAGGACCAGTGCCTCAGATTATTCTTAATGCTAGTAAATTCAATAGCTGTATAGGAGGCCTGACCTTACTAAATCAAGCTTAAGCGGTTAAGCAGATTCTGCACTATGCCACCAGGAGTCCAACTTCACGACAAATTAGTGAAAAGCGCAAGCTGCCACCGAAAGGGATGATGCCGCTCTCCGCCCTGACTGCACTGTGCCTACCCCTTGACTCAGCCTGGACACGGCGCAGCTAAAGGCTGAATCACGTCAGCTCCCTGCTTGGAGGGAAAACGCACCCTACCTCACCCCCACAGAAGACTAGTTTTGCATCAGATCAGCGAGCGACTTCAATCCACCCTCAAGTAACGTGTTTGCTATACAGGACATGGAGGATGGGGTGGGAACCACCCAGGAGTAGGATCATCTCTTTCACTGCACTGAAAATTACGCTAACCATAGTCTGGGTTGGCTTAATTTGAACTGCACCCCAAACCACTTCTTTGGATGTACCTCTTTTTTCTTGACTAACACTCCACAGAAATTCTGCAGCCACAGCTTGCAGGCAACAATAACTGTCATGTGAAAAAAAAAAAGCATGACTAATTCAAGATATTCCTGCATTGAACCCCAATAATATTACTAATTTTGGAGGCAATCTTCCGTTAGAGGTAAAAAAAAAATAGATTTTGCCAGTGAAAATAACAACTAAATTTGAAAACAGTTTTCAAATAAATTCATAAAGCAGGGAATCAGAATGTTTTAAAGGTGAAAATTATTGCCAAAAACTAAAATAAAAATTAATTCATCACCTTGTAAATAAAATAAAGTATTCTCTCAAACAAATACACAACTAATGCAAACAGTCCAAATGAATCAGCAGAATTATTTGTGAAAGCAGATATGTAGGGAAAAGTCCAAACTTAGGTAATATCATCTATACCCATGTTTACTTACAATTAAGAATAAAATGTTACAGCAATATTCTGAAAGGAACAGACTTAGGGATAGTCACTCAGAAAAAAACATTTTGCAATCCAGGATTTTAACAAAAACAAATGAAAATCTATTTAAAGAGTATTTTATTCGGCAAAAAGGTTTGCTGGATGTAAATGCTTCTCTACAGAATCCACAATTTAGACTTTCTTAACGCACATGAACTTAAGATGCAAACAGTGTAAAAACAAAACCGAAGCTATCTAATACCCTAAAATGAAAAAGCACAACAGATTCAGTAGCTTTGGTTAGGAAAGCTGCTAGTAACTACAGTATACTATATCACATCTCATCATCCTTTTTTAAAAAAGCCCAGCTGTTGCAGATCATAAAAGAGGTACTTCTTCGATCGGAAAACTTAAACAAATTCATCTTTCCAAATTAACAGCTCTATTTAAATTGATCTATCTTATGTCTTTATAAGTTTACAGACATTTCATTTGGGATTGCAATTTTTCTAATTGCCACTGTTACTGCCACTACAAGTTCCACTTTAGATAGAGCTATAGTCCTACCATTGAGTCTATGCTAGTAGGACTTGTTAAAGTTAAGCCTCGCGAGGCCTAAGCAAACTTAAGTATGTCTGCACTACAGACAAACACAGCAATGTTGGATGGGGGTATCAACACATGTGATCCATGACCAGCACAGTTATTGTTTGCAGCTGCAGTTATATTTGCAAAACCAGTCGCTTAGCAGTCAGTTTGGCTGATGGTTTACTTTGGTGTAGCTGCATCCACATCAGGAACACTGCTAGCATCTCTAGCACTGACTAGGTCCTTAAACCGGAGTCCCTGCTTTCACGCTGGGAAGGTTTTGATAATGTAGCTCTATACAGGTGTAGCAAAAGTTGGGAGACTTCCCCCAGTCAGGCAAAGGGTTATTCTTAGCATTAAATAACCTGCATACAGATTATGACAGTATTTCTGAGCGGTGCTTTATTCCACCAACTGAATCGAAACAGGCAGTACCAAGCATCCAGCTAACTCTAGTGGAGCACTGTAGAGGCGCCCCGATTTGTCCAGCAGATTTTCAGAGTTGGAATTTTCATACTGTATCTTTCTAAAAAAATACACATTTACTGTTGGTGGACAAGTTCAAAGAGCAATTTATTATTTTCATGAACACAAAAAGCTGAAAGGGAACACTTTAGAATTCAGCCTTCTGTAAAACTGAAACCTACATGTAAGAGAAAAACGATCACAAAAAGCCTGCGATGAGGGACAATAAAATGAGAAATCCATGGAACTCAGGAACATTTGCCACACCAATCTCTGCTATATTACGTTCACAAAAAAGTTCAGGCAAATTGCATTTTTAAAAGGAATTCTTAACACTGTTTAAATAAATTCTTTCACTAGTACTTTCACTGCCCATAGTTTCTGAAAACAAGCAGCTATGCCAAGATCTTTCTATGATGCCCGCAATCGGAATGTCCAAAGCTGGGACTAATTTTATTCCACTGATACAGCACAAGCACTTTAGTGTACCCATGTAAAATCGCTGACCAGCCATTATCAACCTCATCAGGAAACATGGTCTTTATATTTGATGGAGTTAAAGCTACGCATCAGTTTCAGTTTCCACATTATCTTTTAACATTTGCCCTTGTAAATTTATCTTTATACCTGCATAAGTTTAATAAATTTGTCCCATATAATTAAAACGCATAATTATTTATAATTATGACACAGAATTCTGCTGCAACTTTGATCGGATCAATAAATTAGTAAGCGTAGCAGAAGATGCTATAACGGTTGTTTATTTCTGGAGCAGGAAACATGTTCTGAAAGTAATACTACTAGCAAGTTGATGCCAAAAGTTGCAAATTATCTAAAACATATATCTGAGGACCAGGACGTGTTCTGCCAATGCCCATTTCAACTGGGGAACATTTATTCTATTTTTGACGCAGGTAATGTCATGTATGAAGCCTAAGGGACAGAAATGGCTTAGGATTATCAGAAGATGATTCAGGGGAAAAGTTGAACAAATTAAATATAGTTCTGCTACACATTCTCTTTAATAAAATATGTAACAGAAGACATCAAAAAGCAAACTTCACTGCAGTTTTAATATCAGGTAGTACAGTATTTTAGTTCAGCTTCCTAACTATACTGCCAAGCCTTACAAGTTCCAGGTAAATGAATTTGCTTATAATGCACAGTAACATTTTTTACTCCCATTAAGATTCAGTGATAGTAATGACATAACAATAAATAGCTTCCCACACAACAACGCTCAATGATAACAAGAGGAATCAGTACTTTACTGATAAATCAAAGCGACCCTTAAAATCAGGGCCCGGTTAAAAACACTTTTGTCATTTATCCTGCTCTTCAATAGCTCTATGCCCCTCTGAGGCTGACTAAACACTTGACCATCCTTTCCGATCAGCCAGAGCTAAGCCATCCAACTTCTTTCTCAGCAATAAACACCAGAAGACTCAACAGCCTGGTAGAGCAGACAATTAACTGCTACTCCCTCTGCACACCACAAGTCGACTGAGCGTAAACTTAACCGAGAAAAGCTAAACCTGCGACCTGTCAACCTTCACTCATTTGGGAGAAGCCTCCCCCTCTTCCCCCCACGCTTTGCTTTACTTTGCATTGATCTCAGCTTTTGTAAGGCCCCATTCCTCCAGCCAGGCATGCTCCTTGCCGGCCTCTCACGGGACCTTTTTTTTTTT